TTTCATTGCTTAATCTATTTTTATAAATAGATAGGAAAAAGAAGAAAAGAAAAAAGAAGAAATGTCTTGAGGTAGTATAAACTGTACTCCAACTGTAATGTGGGTACATACTAAGTACTACCACTATTTCAGAAACAGCTTTGCTGTATTTTTTAAGATCTTGACATAGAGTAAAATATATATTGTATCAACTGTTTTGATATATCTTATTTGAAAATTATTGTAGTGGATTGGAGAATCCAATTTTTTTCTTACCTTTCTGTGACTGTTAATGTAAAGTAAATCATAGTACTGAGTTGTTTTGCACTAAATGTAACATAACACTTACAGTAATTTTAGTAAAGTTGATATTTCTGTAGTAGGACTCTCTTAAGTAGAACTTATGGATCATATAAGTGTACAAGTTTACAAAAGATGACAGGATTTTGTTCTAAGAAGAAAGGAATGTCCTTTCTCAGCAAATCTCTAGTATTCACATTATACATGTGTGAATCTTTATCCAATTTTATATACAAGGCTCTGCATTACATTATATTTATGGGGTAGAAAAGAATTATTCAATAAAACAACATTTTCCCTGCTGTAAATCTCTATTCATCTTCACAAATGATGAAGTTCAGCATCTTAATAAGAGGGTCCACTCAGGTGTTGGATGTAGTGATGCCTATGAATTTTACAGTTGGCAGCCTGATACAGCGTTTGCTGAGCATAAGCCAACTTTGTATTTGATAAGGTAACACATGCTTTGACATGAGAGATATGAATCAGAATGAGAATAACACGTTTGTTTACAAGAATGTGTTGATACGCATTTTTTAAGATTTATTTTTTTTTTTACATGTTTTTGTCACAGCCAATAAATTGGAGACTGAAAACAGTGCTTTGACATATGACCCTTAATTTTGACATTGTCGTATCACTGTAGCATAGCAACATACTCTGCTTCATTATAGTGTTTATTTATATTAATAGTGAAATTTTAAATATTTCCTTTATCCATTATCATAGAATATCTGTTTAGTTGCTCTGCTTATTTGATAGTTGTAATCCCAGTGTATGCATCATAAGCCATTCTCCAATTGATTTGTACATTTTATTTGTACTTATTTGCCATTAAAACTTTTTAGTGCTAAAATAATACCAGGTGTATGAACATTTTGGCTTTTCAGTTACATGGATATTTTTATTTTTTCTAATTTCATTTGATGTTTATTACATGTATGTTTTCTGGTTCTTTAGATAACATAGATGTAGTGAGTTTAATGTTAATTAGTGTGGAATAGCATGAGCATGATTTTGTCGTTTGTTAATACTTTTAGCTCAAAAAAGAAAAAGATAGAAGTACTGGATATTGACTTGTACACTAAAACCCATTAGATTGGTCAAGTCTCACTGATGATAGTAGATTTAATGAGCCTTTATGATATAATATAGTAATTGCTGTATTATATTTTTTATTTGTAGTATATAGCATAATATTCCTCACATAATACATTCAAATTAAATTTTGTTAATTTTGATGATTTCATACTATCATAATCTAGTTAGCCTTTGTACTGTACTTGATATACATTTATTTATTTAGAGGATGTTATATATTTTCCCCCTAAAATCACAGAGGATTTGCTTTATTTAAACCCAAAGAAAAGGAAAAAAGTTAAGCTAATAGAGTTTTTACACAAAAGCCTTTGAAAGTCACCCGGAAAGGAGACATGATCATTTTAATCAACTGTACAAGTTCCTAAGATAGTATATTGTTAAAAAAAAGAAGAAAGAAAATGTGATTATAACTTCTAAAAGATGTATATATTTTTGTAGCTATTCTGTAGTGGGGCTAGCAAAATGAATCTTTATTTAGTCTCCCAATTGTATATGTTAGATTTATTTTTATTTCTTCTGTAGTTGTAGATTGTAAGTGAAATCAGTCTTCTATTGTCGGTGAATAAACCAGATTTTTTCCAGTAGTTGTTGATAGTTGTGGATTGCCAAGGAAATCATTAACTTCTCCATAACTGCAAAGTTGTTTATTCTTTTAACTGGACTGGAGATAATGAAATAAATTATTGATCATTCAGGCGAAGCCACCGTCGTCGTCGCGACTCTGTGGAGGATCCATCCTGGCGCCGTCATGCTGGAAGCGAGCATGAACTGCAGACATATGCTTCCAAGGCCATTCACGAGGAGGTGGACTATCTCAAGGAACACGATTTGGATGACATTGCAAGTGAGTTTTTTTATATTATAATTATTTTTACTTGTCTATTTTTATTCCTGTATACATCTTTTGCATCTTTTTGTTACCTTTTTGTTACTTTGTCTTAGCCGTTGTGTGTTACTTTCTCTTAGTCTGTCACCCTCTCTTTGCCTTACTCCCTTTCATCCTTTGCCTCTGGCAATTTCTCTAGTATCTCTCTCTTTTAGCTTCTCTCTCTCCCTCTCTCCTCTTTGTGTGTCTCTCCTCCCCTTCTCTCCCTTGCTCATCTTTCTATCCAGTCTAGCT